CGATGCCTCCGAACGTTGAATATTTTCTGGAATGCTAACGGAATTATCATCGCCAGGCAGAGACTCCTCGTCACTTTCATCCCCGTACACTCTGTACCATTTTAACTGAGAACAGTGCGCCGTACACAGATATTGCTTTTTCGACCCCCATTCGAGCGAGCCGATATATATCCTTCGGTAGAATCTCCGTAATTACCATAGGTCCCCGATACTTTGGTTGCAACTTTGTTGGTAACCCCGTCTGTTCCGGCAACCGCCTTACTAATACGATATCCCCGATCTCATGACGCCGCCAATGTGGTTTCCTTTTCTTATCGTAGTCCTCCGCGTATTTGGCTTGATTTTTAATGATCGTCTCCCGAATCTCCTTCTGAATTTCTTCCGCCGGCGTCTATACCGTCTCTTGCAGTGTGGGGCAAATTTTCGCCGTGATTATGATTTTACCGTAATCATACGCATGCGTATGATTATGACCGTAATCATACGCTTGAGTATGATTATGACCGTAATCATAATCACACGTGTGATTTTGATTATAATCATAGTCATAATCACAGAAATCACCGTAATCACACGTATTCGTATGATTACAATCATAATCACACGTGTGATTATGATTATAATCATAGTCATAATCACAGGAATCACCGTAATCACACGCATTCGTCTAATCGATGGGCGTCTTGCCTTGTATCCAAACTGGAAAGCCACGATCCCAGCTCGAAACGGCTTTTCTACGGAGAACCACAAACGGGAATGGAGAACCGTGGCTCTCATGCGCTTTCTCGCGAAGCCTATACGTGTCCTGCGGCACCGTGTCGTCGAATAGATCGTACCCTCTGAACGCTTGAGCAGCTTTTCAAAAAAACAGACATGGCGTATTCCATTGGGTATCTCCGTAAACAAGGGTTCTATCGAGACCTGCGAACCCGCGATTCTCGAGTCGACGGGTCAGAGTTTCGCATATATTGATCATCAGCCCTTAGGATCATGAGCTTGATCAAAAGTGACAAGTGATCTAATAAACGGATGACTCGAATACATCGATGGAACCCGAAGGCTGAGCATCGATATTTAGTCGTCGGCCTTTCAATATGCAGCCAGTCTGATCTCCTGATCAGGATGTTCGCCGTGGTCGATGACCCTGCGGTACCCGAGGAGAAGGAGGGCTCTTCAATGAATCATTATACTCGGATGGGGAAATCCACAGGCTACCGGAGCCAAGTCAAAAGCCCAGTGGGAGTCCCATTGTGAGACTTCGACTATCAGAGTTCGAAAGTCAGGCGGGAGAGCGCTCGATCCCGGTCAGACCTTAAAGAAAGATCATCGACATCATTGCCTACTTCTCTCTCCCTCATCGACATATTCGATTCTCGTGCAATTCCATCCCGCGTTCTTCTGGAGCGAAGTTCCCACGAAGCCAACATACAAACAACCGCTGTCTTACGCACTCGCACAAGCGAACAGGAGTACGCCTCAGGGAGCGTAGAAGCGAAAGCGAAATTTCATGTCACTGTGGCTTAGTGTGGGTGAAAAGTCTACCGCCGCACTTGTAAACAATCTTCAGACCTGGCTTAGCCGGTGTTTGGAATCGGATTCTGATCGAGCTTCTAGGTGTTCGGACGTTTTTCCAATATGACTCCGCGATCTGGAACACCCTCCTTGAACTTCTTGTGAGTTGCAGCATACTCGGCGTCCAGAAGGTGAGCGAGCGTGAGAAGCAAAGCTCCTTGACAGGATCCACGTTTCTGAATTTCCCTCCGAGACCGAAGATCATATCTTTCTAGATTAATTAATCCGTACCTCAGAGTCTTCCGTAGATCGGAGTCATCGAGGGCTCCCGTTCGAAACACGGAATAACTGTGAAGCGGCTTGATGTAAACGATCTGACTGATCTAGAGTCTAGGACCTAAGACGATTGGGACAGCTTTTCATTCCCTTCTAAGTGGACGGGATTTAATTGATCCTGGGAAGGGGAGAGCCTCCAATTATTTCTGCCTCGTTGAGCAGGCATGCTCACAGGTCACGCTGTGAGGAATGTGAGCATCTCACGGTACTTCTACTTTCAGATGGATTACGAGTTCAAAGTAAAAACCTCCTCGGAAAGGGAGAAGGTCGAAGATCTATTCGACTTTGAGGGCTGCAAGGTAGGTAGGGGAACGTACGGTCATGTCTACAAAGCGAGACCGAAAAACGCCAACGAGCGGAGTGATAGTAGGGAGTACGCCCTCAAGCAAATCGAGGGGACCGGGATCTCAATGTCTGCGTGCAGGTTCGTATTTCCTGAAACCACATCTTCGAATTCCTCGACGCAGTTATACATCAGCCCTTGGTGGAAGAGGAGCATCAATAAAGACATCCATTATAATTATCAAATTTTTTCATCCCTCCGATTTCTTCGCATTCCAGAGAAATTGCTTTGTTGAGGGAACTGAAGCACACAAATGTGATTAATCTCCAACGGGTTTTCTTGTCCCATGCCGATCGCAAAGTGTATCTTTTATTTGATTTTGCGGAACATGACCTATGGCACATAATCAAGTATCATCGAACGGCCAAGGCGAACAAGAAGACTGTCGTTACTCCGCGGTCCATGGTGAGTCCCGAAAGTACGGAATCGCGAGTAAAGGACAGGTGTCAATCAGGATTCGAAGCTTTCCTGTGATCAGGAGAATTCTCGAGCTCTTCTGGGCCAGTTTGATTCTTTTGTGCATTCCAATACATCCGGGAAATCACGCTCTCCTTCTCAGGTGAAATCGCTGCTGTATCAAATCCTAAACGGAATCCACTACTTGCATTCCAACTGGGTCCTACACAGAGATTTGAAGCCCGCAAACATTCTCGTAATGGGTGAAGGGCCGGACCGGGGGAAGGTTAAAATTGCAGATATGGGTTTTGCTAGATTGTTCAACTCTCCGTTGAAGCCTCTGGCCGACTTGGATCCAGTCGTCGTGACTTTTTGGTACCGGGCTCCGGAATTGCTTCTCGGTGAGTGACTCGCCGCTCTCTGCTGTAGTGTGACACTCGAGCTCGAAGCGTTGGAGAGGAACTCATGATATCGGATGAAATGGCGAGGGGGGATCTGATTCACATATTCGCTCATTGATAATTCACATATTTCAGGGGCTCGGCATTACACAAAAGCCATCGATATTTGGGCAATCGGATGTATTTTTGCCGAGCTTCTTACTTCCGAACCTATTTTTCACTGCCGTCAAGAAGACATCAAGACTTCGAATCCATACCACCACGATCAGCTAGATCGGATTTTCAATGTGATGGGATACCCTCTAGACAGGGACTGGGAAGATCTCAAAAAAATGCCGGAACACCCGACGTTGACTAAGGATTTCAAGCGTTCATCATACCAGGGTTGTTCCCTGAGCAAATACATGGAGAAACATAAGGTTCGTCCGTCGATAGGATTCGCCGTCGAGGCGACCCCCTCGATTTTTCTCGAAAATGGGGTTGTGGTCAGAGGAGTAGTTTGATTCCTCGAAAGAGAGATGGATTGAGTTTTGCCATTTGATCTTCCAAATCCGTACGTTCCAGGTGAAATCAGACTCGAAAGCTTTCCAACTTCTCCAAAGACTGCTCCTGATGGATCCCACGAAGAGATTGACCTCTGAACAGGCCATGAATGATCCATATTTCCTCGAAGATCCCATGCCCACGGCCGATGTCTTTGCCGGGGGGCCGATACCTTATCCGAAAAGGGACTTTCTCACTGAAGAGGATAACGACACAGACAAAGCCAACGCCCAAGCGAACGATAAAGTCCGATCCTCTATCCAGAACGCGGCAGACAGCGGACCGAACGCGAAACGTGTTCGTCTGGGCCCGGGCCCACCCCAACCGCCCCAGCCTCATAATTATCAGCAACAGAGACCGCAGTTCTGAGCCTCCCCTCCTCGCGGGAAAGGCGGCACGAGCGTGATTCTCTCACATGGTGGCGGTTTCCTAAAAGAGAGGCTACTATCTTCCAACTACGGGTTTCAATCGATGGTCGCGGATGACTCTCCTTGCACAAGTTATCGGAGTTTCTGCTCCGCGTCCCGCTACTTGCTCTCATACCCGCTTCGAGCAACAAGTTGAAGGCTTCCAGAATGTTCAAGAAGCATCCTGTAAATATTCCTGAATAAAACGAGCCATGCTTGAACAATGCGTCCGAGGTGATCATCCAGTTCTCTGAGATTTTGAATGAATCGGCGGGGGAAGAAGGGGGCGAATTTACATCACAATTTCCGGAGGAGCCTTCCCGGAATTGGCTTTTGGGGGCGTGATTGCCGGAATTCTCAGCGGACGTTCTCTAGGCTGCCCTGCGAAGTGTCAGGGATTTCACTATGAGATGCATCATCAGACGGTTCATTTTTTTGTCAGCATGATTCATCGCCTAGAAGGATCGATTTATCTTCCTGAGTGGAGCGGGACGTGAGACAGATTGTGCATCCCAAGAGAATCTCTTGGAGGATCTCGAGATGCTCTCAGGTCAGACTTCTTTTCCTTACCGTCGAAGTCTGCTCTAGCCCCCGGTCACGCGGACCCGGCGTTTGAATGAAGAAAGAATCCACCAAGAACACATTCGATCCTGCTCCCGGTGTGACCCCCGGAGGGAATTAATTTCGATCAATTCATGGAATCACGCATGCGTTTTGCCTATGTGGCATCCTGTTGGAAATCCGAATGGGCCTTCCACCCGAGAGTCGCCAGAGGATAGCGGTGAACATCATAGGGACCCTCGGAACCCGTCCCCCGCATCCCTCCCTGTTTCACAGATTTTCTGGATCCGAATGTTCTCCGTTTCGCTGTGAATATATGAAATAGATCTGAGAGGCGGGAAAGTCATCCGATTGACGATAGCCGTGGGCGGAAGCTCCCTCCGGTCCTCTCGAAGAGTTCCCTTTAGAGACGTGCAAGCTCCATGGAACATGAGTGGGATATTTCGAAGAATGTGTCAAAAACTTGCAGCGGGAACGGGAATTCTGTAGGTTGGAGGGAATGGAATCGGAGGTCTCCTGGTTGATTGACCTGGAGGAAAGGTTACCTGGTGTTATCCTGTCGCAGGACACTCGGGCTCGCATCGACCCTGGTTCCTCCGTGGAAGGGTTGAGGATCACATCGGTTCTCTGCGTTTATTGTCCGAGGCTTGACGTCGAGTCCGGTGTCGTAATTCTGATTTACCCCTATTGGCTCCACGTTGTGAATCCCGCGGGTGGCTTCCGGAGTCATTCGTCGATTTCTCAATTGTACCGGTCATCACCGAACCGCGCGCTGGTCGGTGAGGGTTTTTGTCTTGAGAAACTGACTTGGGAGAGGGGGGAACCACTGTCCTCCGTGGTTCAGTTCATCCATCGAGCCTTCTGCCCGTCGAGCTTTGCGAAATCCTTCGGTTTTCGAGGAATCTCCCACAATACCTCCCGCGACTCAGAGGAGGAGGGAATCTTGGGGAAAAACCCGATCCAAAATGAGCGAACGGCTGAACTCGAGAGCAAAGACTCGAGTTCGAAACTGATCCGTATTCATCTCGGTCTTCACCTAATTTCCGTCATGGAGGCCGAGCTGGAATAGTCGCTTCAGATCACATTATGACTTAGATCTCTGTTTCCAGAATTCGGAATCGTGTTCACCACGCGCTTCTTACCATCAGAATTAGTCCGCGCCTTGGAGATATGCGCAGGAGTACCTCGAATTGAGACTGTCAAAAAAACCGCGAAGCCGGTGGGTTTCCGAAAACTGTTCCCCATCAGTCAATACATTGCGTAGCAGTGTCCGACGTGATGATCGTTCCATGAGAGCGATTGGCCAGCGAGCACAGAGACGTGTAGAAACCGGACCCTGGCGTCGCGCCGGAGGAAAAAACAAATCACTTCACCAGTGTCACAGAGGATGAGAGAGGCGTCTCCGCTTCTAGTGTCAGAGAGACGATGGCGCCTCGCTGCAGAGGAAGATCCGGAGCAGAAACTCTGGCTCTCGGCATGAGCTCAGGTGTGTTCAAGGCGGCCCAGAGCCCTTAGCGCACTTTTGATTCAAGCTCATGACTCATGTTTCATGGAGTATCTCATGACTCATGAGTCATGACTGGACAATCTAGTCGCGCCGATTCGATTACCACAAAGCAAACGGCCCGCAGCTTCTCTCGGTGGAGGATAGGATGTGCGCGTTCACGCGTGCGAATGGTGGGCGAAAGTCCCAGAGGCCGAATGAAGGAAAGCTTCGTCGCCTGATGGATTTTCGAAATCTATCTTCCGAATGTTGGCTACATCACTAGGCTGTTTGAGGGACCCGATCTCTACTGATGATGATTTCATCACGCGATCTTCGCTTAAGACAGGAAATGGTTGATCGTGCTCGAAATCATGGGTACGACAACATCAGTGTTTGATTGAGGATTTTATTTGTTAGATTAGAGTATCTCCCTAACGTTGGCGGCACCCGGCTCACCCGAAGTTCACTGTCTCGGAATGAATCTGTTTATATCGACCTTCTCCAGCGCCGTAGCGAGAGCTTGGCGAGCGCCATTCTCCACCTGGCCTCTGATCTTTCCGCGATTCTTGTTCACGACGAGGTTGATTATCCATTTTGCCAACCAATTGAAGACGGCGGAAGCCCCAGTGAAGCGAGTGACTTTCAGACCGCTCATCGAGCCGATGCTGAAGTTTTGCAGATGAGCTTTCCCATTACTGATGGCGATTCGGACGTTGCACGAGATGTTGTCGACCTTAGCGGAAATGCTCCCTTTGAAGCGGAAGAGAGCACGGTACTTGTATCGCCCGTCACCAGTCACTCGATTCAAGCCGAGGTTCGCATCGATCGCGAAATTCCCGTCTCCGTGGTCGGTAAGGGTCGCTGGTCCCGACCGCGCGAGACTCAGTAGACCGTAGACTTTAATCTAGAAGAGCGAAGGCATGCGTTCCGGGAGAGAGCATGAATACAGAGGCTCTCCGGGGAGGAGCACAGGGTGACTACATATATTAAAAAAAAATCATCTCACATCACTGGCGGATCCTTTCTTGAAGCTAATGTCGTCGATGCGGAGGGGATCGATTTTCCCTCGGATCTCGGGATTGTTCCGAGCGTTTTCCAACACTTCATCAAGGTAGCTGTCCGCATTGCCCACCTGACCTATGGCATTTCGCCGTTGAGTATATCAGCTAATTGTGAAGGTATGATCACCTTGAATGTGAAGATAACTCACCCCAAGCCAGCGCAGCACAGCTAAGAGTCAGTAGGATTTGCAGCTTCATTGTAGAGATTTGCAGCCTATCGACTATAGATTCTGAGGGATATGTCTCCCGTTTTATACAGCTTCCTCTCATTGATCCTCTCGAGTTAAGCAGGCTTGAGGGGTAGAGTATCTCTCCTCTGTGTTTCGGTTAAACCATAAAGCCACCTTCCCATCAAAGATTGCCGAATCCCTCGGTTCTCCGGAAAATCCTTCTAACATAAATCCCTCTCCGCGGAAGAGGAAGGACTCGCGGTCTGCAATCAGCCGACTGCTGAGTTCGCTATCGTGGATCCGTCTCGGACTTTCTCTAATTTTCGTAATAGAGATCCTCCGCTCCGCGGTCCTATGGGAGTTTCGCGTTTCAGATCCCAGTCGATTCTCGGCGCAAAATCTTGCAGCTTCTCGCAGTCCTGTCCATCTTTCCCTGTCAGGCAGGTCTCTGGAATTCGAGTCCAAATTCATGTTTATTGAGGATACGTCTCATGAAAGATACGTATCCGTAGGTCATAAGCTTTCACAATCGCGCGTCCAATTAACGGACGTGATCTGCTCGGGGAACCATTTATAGGCAATCGCCAGGCCAATCTCAAATTGATTCCGAGGAAACTTAGCAGAAGGCGTCGGTGCAATAATAATCGATAGCCCAATTCTCTCAAGAGAATCTCGATGAACGACCGAGTACGTTGGTTTTCAGATAGACGTCGCGAGCTGACGTGCGATCGTTCTCGCTTCCCCCTTCTCCCAACTCTCCGATTCTTCTCCTTGAATTCACTCGCGTCAATTCGATTTCGGAGTATCCTTCCATTGGAATTGTACCAAAACTCGGACAGTTGGACGACTTCTCTTGGACAGGCATTGCTTCTAGTTCCCGGAGCTCAAAGAATGTTCCTCCCTCCCTGGCCTCTCCCCCCTACACCGGGAAGATGAAGGAGGCGTAGAAATGAGCTGACCGTGTTGCATTGATATCGCATCAAGAGTTGAGCCGTTCGTTGCCTGGATATCGGGGATTATGAGAAGTTCGTTATGTTGTCCCTAGAAACCTCGGGTGAGTGAACCGTCTTTCTCCCTCGTTTCTCGATCCGGCTCAAACTCTTGAAGATTAAGCCGTCTGATCTCTCGGACTCCCAACCACACCGTCTACCACATCACATTTCCCTCTCCTGGATCGACATAGGGACTTTAATGCCGAAGCTTTTCTCGGAGCCTCGACCTCTAGATATAGGGTCGGCGATCCGCCCAAAGGCTTCATACTGCAAGTTTATTTGCAGGTTATGGCATATCTCTCCAGATGACTCCCACTCCTTTGCTGGATAATCGCGGATATCACCGCACACGCCTTGAAGGTCATGACCTGTGGAAACCTCTGTTGAAGAATGATGACAGAATGTAATTCGCCAACGATTGACCAACCCAGATCATCATTATCATAAATCAATCCAAACTAGAGCTCCGATTACAAGATCACTCCAATTGATCAGACGGGAACCGGATTGTTGTACCCCATCCCATATCCCTCCATGAATTATATCATCCTAGAGAAAACGGACTCGATCCTCACTGATACAACGAGAGCTCCCTCGCGAATCGATATCGCGCTCACAATTGGATTTACGAAACACACATCGAGTGTGCGCAGAATAATTGGATTCTCGTCTTTCGAGATAGAACAACAATCTACCTATGACCTCGACGTTTAAGAGAGGGAAACGTTCGCGAAAGCATCACGGTTCGCTTTCTCCCCATATGGAAGCTAGATTGTCGGATTCGAGCAGGACTCAAATCTAACCCGATTCGATCTATTGCGACTACCCCGGCCACGTGGATGGATTAGGAAGCTGAGCGTTTGTGAATCTACACGGCCAGCTCAGAGAGCTCTTGTCTGAACGAGCCATTGAAATTAGATGACATCGGCTTATTATATGTTCGTCATTTAGTCGATTTTCTTGATTCATCATGTGCGCTTGGCTCGAATTTCTATTCTGCGAAGGATTTTCCTCTTCGCGGCATCCAGCTGCGTCCAATCAACTCCGTGGAAGTACGGGTGGGCTTTGAGTAAGTCGAAATTCATCCCGTCTCGCATCCCTAAGCGACTCTCAGGATCAGGTCTGGAAGTTTTGGAAGACACTTCACAGAGAGCCTCCCGAATCAATAACGTCGTGATCTCCATGACGTGGGATATCATCGAAATCCCGCTTCTCGTTTCGATCGAAATGCTTCCTATTCACCTCAGGACATCGACCAATAGCGCGCGTTCCTCGGGACTCGTGCGGGTGCTGAGCACTACAGGAGTTTTCTTGGCTAGCTCGTACCTTGAGGAGAAGAATTTGGCGGAGGGTATCACATGAGATCTTCAACGAAAACGTAATCGCTCGAGACCATACCATGTGATCCGGAGAGGATGCCATGCCACTCACCGGCTTTCTTTCGAGATATTCTCGAGATCGATCTGTTCCCTGATGGCGAAGAGTGCCAGGGGACTTTTACCGACGATCATCGTGTAGACAACGATGCCCCAGGACCACCAATCGGCGGCACAGCCAGCTGGTCTCCTGTTCAGGACTTCGGGGGCCATGTAAGCCAGCGACCCTGATCTGCGGAATGAAAGCGAAACTTAGACAATATTCCGTCGGTTCTCGTTAGTAAATGCTCCGATGGTCTCGCATGTATCCAGGAGTCTAGAAAGGCTTTTTTACCTAGAGGTTGCGGTCGTTCCCTTGACACTGAGACCGAAATCGATGAGTCTGCAGTCAAGATTTTCCGTTAGCAGGACGTTCGAGCAGCTGATGTCCCTGTGCAGATACCCCGCGTGGTGTAAGGTTGATATCGCGTGAGCAAGTTGAGCGGCGATCTTCCGAACATCCTGTGAGCCAAGCATGACATCTGGAAGGTCATCAACTACATGAAGGTAGATTACTCGAGCCATTGTCTTCCGCTGACCTCGCCCTCGAACGCTTCGCGGAGCCATGAATCGAGGTTGCACCAACCAAGATGTGGAAAAACCCATCGGTTTGTACTAATTGCTGTCGATGATATCGGGTGAGAATGGCGGTTGGGAAGCCGCATCCTAATCGAGATAGGGCCGTCCTCTACTGCATTTGGGTTCTTCGACATAATTTGCATATTGAGGTGGAGCCAACCGATCATCTCGATGAAGGAAACCCAATGAAAAATTTGCCTGAGCTCCGGAGAACTTGACTGAGGCTTCCGAAATTTCCGCGCTCCATGATGAAGCACCAATACGTGTCGGTTTCGACGAAGGCAAAGAGCGATATCACATTCGGGTGCCCGCTCATCGCTCTCCAGCAAGAAAATTCGGCTTTCACTCTCGAGAGATCTTTTTCGGTGTTCAGGACATTTTTCTTGATGCGTTTGATCGCTGCCTCGGAGCCATCGTCTTTTGCTTTCACTTGGAACACCTCACCGAACGAGCCCCGACCTAGGAGGTCTTCGACCTGAAAAACGGCTAGCAATCAGCTTCAATCAGGTCAACGCAAAGACAAGCCAACGGCTCAAGCTGAGAAAACGGAAGGGTTAGGTCGCGTAACAGCTAGACGTCAGCGGAAGTTTGACACGAGAATTTTTGTCCAACCCTCCTCCGGGAAGCTCTGCATGATTCTCTCTCCGGACAGGAGCTCTAGGATCGCGAGATCGAGAACCTCGAGATCATACTCCTTCAGCAACACCGAACTGCGGGAAGCTCAAGGGACTGCGCCGCTCCCAGAAGGAAGATCTAGAGAGGCGACAAACGCCCAGCCGCCTGACGCATATATTGACTGACATCGATAGAACCCGACGCACACTTGGAGGGGGGGGCATATGTGGGCTAGACGTCTAAAATATTCGTGAGCCTCATATGAAAGCCGTATTCAAAGTAAAGGCTGAATTAAATCCGATTCGGCTCAATGCGATCGCCGGTCCGTCTCGGAGTCCTGGTGGTTTAATAACGCCGATATGACATCCGAGGAATAGGGTTTAATATACGTCAACACACAGACGACGGAAATGAAAGTCTTTGCAAGTGCCTCCTACTAGCGCCAAGTGTCGCAAACAGCATCGGAAAATGCTCTCACTGTCCGCCGCCCTACGCGTGGAAACGAGCAACCGACAGGTCCCCTGATGGGCATGGCGACGGGTATAGGCGGCTTGACATCGGAATGAAGCCGTCAATATCGAATGTTCCATGTTCTTTCCGGCCGAGAAGCAGAAACCAACGGGATGGAAACCGCGACGGAAGCCGAACTTGCGGCGAATAACGCTCAGTAGCGGGAAGGGTTCCAAGTATCGTTGGATTAGTCTTACCTGGAGGTTTTCCAGATTCCAGTTTCGCTTTCTGGTGTCCCTGGCGTTCTGCCAGAACACTCCCTGGCTCTGCCCGATATCGTTGTTTCGCCGCATCGTGAAACTCATCCATTGGCAGATGCTGCGCAGACGAAGCCTCGGGCTGGACAATATTTTCCCGGTGCTGTGCGTAAAGGTTGCGTTTCCTGGATGGGAACGATACTCCAGATGATTACGATTGTCTTCGAACGGAATCGTGAGATTTCTTCGCGAAACCTCCGACGAAACTCAGACATTTCCAACGAGCGTACCGTGCGTCTCCAGGCGAGGATCTTCAGCTCGACGCTCGTAGCCGTGCTCGAAGCCTTCCACCTCAATTTTGTCGGTATACATGCACCACTTAATCGGCGTAGCGCATGCCTTCTTTGAGACTTCGTTTCCTCCGGTAATTTTAAACCAAACTCGGATCGCTCCTGTTTCGAGCTGTAACTCGAGCTGCATTCACGGCACGGACGTGAGCCCACTTTGAAGTTTCGGCTCTGGTTTCATATTTGCGATCAGCTGACAGACCGCGATCCTCTATAGATAGCATAGACTCGGGAGGCTGTCGCTGACACTCGCTGTTCTCTCAATCGTTTAAACGACTCGCGAATCAGACTTGAGGATGAACAACATCGCTGATTGTCTTGTAGCTAAATGTGAGAAACAACATCGTGGCGACGAGTTCGAGGCTGGAAATTCGTGGACAGATTTTTTCGTGTATGATCGGGTCGGCTCGACCGAACTCCTCACGACGAAAGTTGTCTTATGTAACGAAGAGATCCGATCAAGCTCGTGTGATCAGTCCATGGGATCCGGCTCGAGGATGATTCGCGAATTCTCGTCTACTGCGGAGTACGGCTTCGAATGCCGTGAGGATTCAGCAGAGAACCGAACGATGTTGCTCGCGGACAGCTTTCGTCCCCTCGAGGGTTATCCGAGGATCAGCCAACATATTTGTCCGAAGCGAAAAACGACTCGGAGCTGTTGCTCGCGGATCGTCATAAATTCACGTATCTACGGATTTCCCTCGAGTGAATGGAGCTCTCGGCGGTGCTCGAGCCTCGAGATCTCGATCCGAACGGGATCATACGTCTGCCGGTTGTTGACTTGCAACAGAGAGCAACTGCTCCTGATATGACGTTGGGCTCCAAATTCGCTGTGCGTCGAGAAGTCTATGCTAATCATAGGTATTGATCCCCGCGATTAGGGGATCGCACTCTATCAAAGAGGGATTTTTCAAGCTTCGGGCTCATCATCCGACTTTTGATACCAAGCAGCGCTGCCTACATCACCGTGCTTCCATTTCTCAACCCCGCAGGGATTGCGGAGATCTCACCAATTATAGAACAGGAGAGTTTTAGAATATTGGTCATGGCTTCATCGAAATCCGAATAGCTCAAAGCACTCGTTCAACCACCACCGGATCATGAGCCCTCCATCCGAACGTTACGAATTCCCCATGCTTATTATCTGGCAAGCGAAGCTGGAACTTGGAACGTCTCAAATTTAACAGAGAAGCTCTCATGAGCACATTTGAGAGCGCTCTCATTTCTTGCCCCCTCCATAGATATAACGGAGTGACTTTATGTCTGACATCTGAGGTAGGCAGTACTGAAATATTGTCGGACGTATTGGAGCTCGGATGCAGCTTGATGCCCGGGGCCTTTGACAACTTCGAATTCATCACTCGATGGATTCAGTGCTCGCATAATTCAGGACATGGAAGAGAAACGAGACTTGTTTCAAACTCAGAGAGGGAATTTCTTCCGAAGACGCCTTCGGAATAGAATAGCATTCCGGTTTCTCGGACGGTTCGCTCTGATGACTGGCCGAGAAGGAGCCGGAGAATTCTCGGGGGACGAAGAGTTCCCTCCTGGTCACTCCGCTGTTAACCTAAATGGAAGCAGCCGTCTTATTTCACTCTCCGGATTTTCAAGTGCCCGCATCTCGACCTCGCCCTTTAGAGCCGTTTTCTCTGTGCTCACAATAGACGTACTCCCTCGCGTAAAGCTGCCCGGATCTTCGCTGATTCGTCCAGCTCTGACCAGTATGGTTCCCGGTGAGCAAATAGTCTCGTCTTCCCCGAAGGCTCTCGAAAAGATCAAGAAGATACCGCTTTCACGAGACTAGACCCAAGCGGAACAACATTTCCCAGATCAGAACCGGACTCGCTCAGGTGCCACCAGAACCCTCAGACCCTGTTAGGATGCGCGGTCAGCTTGGAAGATGCTGATCGTAATCATCGTATGTTGACAACGGGATATTGAAAACCGGCCTAGCTTTCCGACGCGCAGAGAAGCTTTCAGACTTCACTCTCATTCGAATTAGCTTCCCCGAGGGGAGAATCAAACAATGACCGCTTGCAGAAATTGCTGTGCCTTATCGTCGTTCCCATAAGGTGTCCGCCTCAAAAGTTTTCAAGACTGAAAAAACCTACGTTGTCAGACGGCGACGATAGAGTGTACATGAGGGAGCTCTCTGTTCTTCTGTTGGGTCAGACCGCTCAAGCACAACGTTCGACTCTCCCCAAGCAGGAGATGTTCTATCATCGGAGGGTATTCTTCAACAGACGAGAGATCCCCCGGCCGTGACGACAGTCCCTTTTTTCTCTGAGAGCTAAGCGGAAACTCATATTCTTGAGCGTCACGATTAGAAAAAAGTTGTCGAACATGTCGCTCCAGAGACAGACCCGTCATCGCGCGCCTTCACATCATTCTCGGCAGTATATAAGTTCTCGCATTGGGATAGAGTCTCGGAATGTCACTGGGCTTTCTCCGTACCACACTTCGCTGCTCCCGTGAGCTACTCCTGTTCTTCCGCCAATGCCTGAGCCATCGTGGTCGAGGCGTAGTCGACTTCCACCAGACTCAGGAACAGCTCCGTCCCGTCCCAACCACCACTCAGATCCGTGACACCTCCGCTGGGTATATCCTGGGCTCGCGTTTCCAAGCGCAAACATTCAAGATTGATTGAGAGCTTAGAGTTGAGAGCTGAGGAGCTTGGAGGCTTATTCACCGGATGTGCACCGGAGAGACGGTCGACCGCTAAGCTCAACGCATGTGGAAAATCAGTTTCCCTGCCCAAGAACCCTCTCGCTGGCCACAGGTTTTGACGAAGGGCTGCGTCCCATGTCGCACCACCATAGGGATCGCTGCCCAGAGATTGGTGACGTCAGAGTGACCTAACAGTGACGAAAGAGTTACGTCATCATGAGCCTCCTCAAGCAATGGAAAATTCAAAAGTGACATCCCTTTGAAAGAGCGACACCAATCCGTCCGTCAGAGTAACCTCTCGGATTTCGATCGACTCTGTATTGCGGCGAATTCGCGCATCGTCGACATGAAAGATTTCGGAACTTCTGATCCCTTCGCATCCGATCCAATCTGTAACATCAGTAGATTTTCGCAATCCAATTCATCCTCTTCAGTTGAAAGTCTCTGGTGTAATTTATCGCTTTATATCGCTGCCACCGCAGAAGTGGCCATCGCGAAACCCCAAGTTTCAGTTCGGTCCTCCTCGCTCACTGGGGTAGTGAGTTATGGAGGACTGCGACGTCTGAATATTTTCTGATGAAGGCAAAGTCGCAGAATGATAGCTCGAATAGGTCGCTTAGAATAGCTTGATTCGTGAACTTGACTGAAACGATTGACTGAAAAATCAAATCCATTTCGAATAAAATCAATACACAAAATACAATTCAGAGGATTGAAGGATCACACCATGATAATATTTTCCACATACTTCGGCTATCATTATTTAACTTTTTTTCTTGGCCCGCCCCCATCCATAAATAGTGATCCAACGCAGTCCTAAGCAGGGAATTTCTTCAGTCAGAATTGAACTTGCACCTGCGTCTAAAACCCTCTGAGGTTGCGACCGTGACTTATTTTCATAGAGCGAATGATTTCGAGCTGACCGGATCTGTTCAATCGGCCAAGTTGCTCTGAAGCCGCAGGTCTGCAGAGCATATTAGCCATCCGGGCAAGTACGCGGAGAAGATACCAAGGCTCTCGATAGATACGACGACGACGTCCACCAAGAAATGGGTGATTGTCTAAAGCCTAAAGGCAACGGTCGATGAAGGACATATTTCTCGTCCCAAGCTCGAGGCAGAATGATTTTTCCCTGAGATTTTTATCCGAGGGTTGCCAGGTCGGGAGCTTCACTCGGTTCGCCTCCCTGACTTGGTCTTACTCGAGCACACTTTCCTCATGATTGAGAGGCTACGTGTACCTCTGCTCCAAGACACTCAACGAGACATGCCGGTCAAATAGGATGACTTTACGCGGTCGGGTAAGAGAGGATCCATCTTCTCCCATCTCACAGCTGCTCGCTGTTTGTGATGAAATTCAGAAAATCCGCGACCATAGAAATAGAAATTATCTCAAGGATTCGCAAGCGCATACGCACGTGGCCAGCAGGATGAGTGGCTGATGACTGGCTCCGATCTGAGATTTCTACACCAGTGCCGGTCTCGATGGCGGGATCTCTTATCCCTGAAGTCCTCAGGTGTCCGTAACCTTTCAACGGTGGGATCTCTTCGGGACCTCAGATGCCAAGGTACGAACTCTGATTCAAGTGAAAAGCAGTCACAATTCCTGAGCCCCCTCCCTCCCATTGAAATCCTCCCTTTGTTCCTGCATCAGCTCGCGTCTACGGAGTGACAAAGAGCAACTGTTGGTGAATTCACGAATCTACGGATTCTCTTGAATGAGCGGAGTCTCCGGCGCGGTTCGAAGTCATGCCTGGCAGCTAGCTTTCGACGGAGCTCTGGTATTCCGCTCGTTCCCCGTTGAAACATCCGATTGTATCAGGCGTTAATTGTTTCGAAGTTCTTGTACTGTTGCCCCGTGTGGCTCCCATTCAAAGCGAAGCACATAAGCAAAATTGAATCTGTGCAGAAATATTTTGTCCGAAGACTGCACATACGGTGCTCGCTTAGCCACGGAACTCTTGTTTTACCGCCTCTCATGTCGTTACTGACTGAGCAGGACATTCGGGCACTCAAACGAATTGTGCTTCTTGAGGACACGGATCACTTCTTTGACATCGTACAAAATTGTTTACGTGGTCAGTGCACGGTCCGAACCAAATCCATTGCCAAGACCGATCTCATCAACAACGTGTTCGCTTGGAGAGTTTGCTCAAAGATCAATAGAGGACTCATATCGAAAGATCTGCTTTTATCTACCTTTTTCAATAAAGAGCTTTGAATGAATAAATGAATTACCTTTCAGTTTATTCAGAGAAAATTGAATCAAGTGAGACTAAGACTTGGGAAAAATTAGCCGCCCAGGAAACTGAGTTCCCCGAGGGCCCCACACTGGAAGATTCCACCCGCTATCATTCTCGAATTCCCCCTCTGTACCTCGACTGCGATACGTTGCCGGATGAAAGCAGTAGCCCTCGAGTTCCCGTCTCCGCTCTCGATCCTCCGACCAATCTCCCTTACGAACTTGAGGGCCTCCTTTCCCCAGACCCCAGAGGACTCGATTACAAAAGGTATCAGAATGTACTCATTGAGCAGGGATTCGTATTTTGGCCTGCTTTTCCTGTTCGCCCCTGGAGGCCACCGCACGTAAATTTCGTGCGATACCACGGTAGCTCGGTGCGAACGAATCCTTCACCGTGACGTCCCAGATAACTCGCTTGCCGC